ATCAACTCGTCATTTACATCAGGTATAACTCCCAATGCAATCCCTCCTCCCTCCCCCCTCCCCATGATAGGCCCCGGTGTAATTTATTTATCCCTACTTAGCTCTCTTTTCAATTGTCTCATTATTTGTAGCATGTATTCAATTATATTGAGATTATCATTCCCATTCTCATTTTTTAAAAAATACACAATATTTCCTAGGATTAAACAGTGGGAAGAGAGACCTTGTAAACTTCCCCAGAATTCAAATTTCATTAACCTAAGTCCTTCATAAACTTTATAAAAAGTAATAATTTGCTCAAAAGTAACATTTCAGTGCTTGCTGTGGAACTCTTAACTCTCTGTACAATGAAGAAAAGCCACTAAAATATTAAATATAGTTTTCTAATCTTCGGTGATCTATAGTATATTAGGTAGAAAGAAACTAGAAGCAAAAAATGGATTTATACAAATAATCCATTAAGTATAAATACTTGTTTAAAAGACCCATATGTACATTAACTAGTCAAATTATTCTCCATGGTCTACAAAGTGGTACCTAAGCTGGTGCTGCTTCTCCTCTTCAATCCTATCTTTTACTTCTCTCCCCCAGGTTTAGTGGCCTGTCTGTTCTACAGCACACCAAACTTTATATTGTGTTGGAACACTCAGGCCTGTTCTTCCTTCGAGAAGCCTAGAATACAAGTACGCCCTCTTTCCCCACTTCCCCTTCTGCTGCCTCCTATTGAACTTCTCTGAAAAGAACTCCACTCACTACTCCTCAATACTATCACCGTAAGAATTACTCTATAGCGCTTATCTCACTTTGAAGTCATATAAAGTGAGCCTCCCCGACGATAAGCCCCGTGGAAGAGGCAGCTGCCTCTTTCTACCAGTATTAGAATGAGAAGGCTTCAGCATGATGTTTGCATTAAAAGTTTTAGTGTGGCCTCAAATGTTAAACTTTTGAAGAAAGAAATTCATTAACATGTCTATGTAATAAAAATTATTAGCATGTTAGAAATTTTGAAGTTTATCTAAAACTAAATATTTTAAATAAAACTCTCTTAGATTTGGAAAATATACCAGTAATAAGTATTTCATAAGCATCTTTACCATGGGTCTTATGTAAAACATGTTTATAAATATTACATAATTATGTGCTC